GGTATGTCAGGCTTGCCATTTGTCCCTAAGCTCATTTTGTTGGTCTATAGCAGAGGCAGGGTGGTGGAGTACAGGATGCCAGTATTGAAAATCAGAGGAGGAGGAGTTCTTGCCTCAGCAGCTCTTAATCAGTAAAAGCTGCCTCACATTAGGCTCAAAATATGATCTGACTCAAAAGGTGTCCAATATATCAGGTGTCCAAATATGTTGGTCTGATGGGTGGTGTGTGAGAACTTGCTAGGGAAAGAGGGGAGAGAAGGGGAAAGTCAGTATAAATGGGGGAGTCAAGCCTGTAGCTGAGCTGCTGGAAGTTGGTTGGTAAATTGGAGCTCGGTGTCCATCTAGTCTAGTCACAATAAGTCAAGTTGAATCCACTAAGTTGAGTCAAATCTGCCTATCCAGCAAGGGGATAATTGGATCCATATAACGCTAATGGAAAAGGGGGCAGAATAAGCTAGATACAGGAGTTTCTAGGAACTACTTATACTAGCTACTATAAACCATACTCTATACTAAATTGGTATCCAGATACCTCTCCAAGGCAGGTGTTGGCATGCCAAATATCTGTGTGGGCCAATCCTGTTGCAGGGGAAACTTGTGGTTGTCATGCCAAATATCTGAGGGTCCTGTTGCCTGGGAAATCATAGCAGTTGCCAGGCCAAATATCAGGGGGGTCAAGACTTGTCGCCAGGGTGTGTTGTCCTGCATTGCAAGGGTCCATAGTGCTATGCAATGGTCTCTAAGGCCTGAAAATAGCTGTGAGAATATTGGCCTGACACACCCCACCAGAGGTGGGGTTGTTCATCCCCCCCAAACCTTGAAGACTGACTCCCTGAGTCAGTGGGGCTCTGGATGACATATTGTGCAGTCAGGAATGTGGTGTGGCACCGCCAAATGGGTCATGAAGTAAAGGCAGCATTATCAAGGACCAATCATGTGACACCCCATGGTAAGACATCATGCTGCGTATCGGGGTGCTGGTAGAATGGTGGCATCAACTATTTGGTAAGGAGGCATGTCAGAGGGTGTTGCTGTGCAATGGGCACTAAAGGTGGCTGGTCAGTGTGTGAAGACCCTAAGCAGGGGCTTGCAGTGCCACATAAGTCCACAAGAGGGACCCTGACTGAGTTTTTTGCATTGAGTCATGTGGTGCCTGAGACCCTGACTGTCCGATTTCTTGCTTTGCAAAGCCCAGTGTGGTGTTTATCTGTGCTACCTTAGCTGAAACAGTGTTCTGGATATTGGCACTTAGCAGGGCCTATGCACAATTTTGTTTTCCATTGAGGTGCTTGCGTGCCTATAAATGGGACCAAATTTCACCTTTCCTGTCTCCACAGATCTCAACTGAACCCCAGCCTCCACTTACATGCATCCCCATGCTCCAAAATGGCCAAGCCCAACACTCACAAGTCTGCCGCCAAGCCAAAGGATGAGCATGCTGCCATGCTCAAGACTGCTGCTGCTATTGTTGCCTGCATGCACAAAGATGTGGAGGATCCCAGATTCTTGCCATTGGTGAAGTATTTGGACATCAAGCCATTCAGTAACATGGTGGCACTCCTCCTCAACAGTCCCCAGTCTGCCCTTGTCCATGATTTGCCTGAGAAGTGGGTCCAACTATTTGCTGCCAACCAGCAAGAGGAGCTCGCTGCATTGTCTGTGCCACCGGAGGAGGATGAGGAAGAGGACAAGGAGGAGAAGCAGTTTAATGCCATGCTGTCTGGTTTTTTGGTACATTTTTCCTTTTTTGGTGGCCAGTTTCTTGTACTAATCTGAATTATATAGATGTCCTTGGTGAGCCTGGCCAGCCCTTTGGGGAAGCTGGAGAAGGCCAAGGCAGAGGCTAAGGAGATGATGCTGGCAAAGGCAGTCATGCCGCACCTTGATGAGGGCACCATGCAGATGCCACTGGTAACCAGGGCCTGCAGGAGGCCGTCAAAGGCAGATTCCCAATGCAGTAAGTCAGCCATATTTGTCTTTGCATTACTTCAACTCATACTGACCAAAATTTTGCAGGGGTGGATGATTGAGGAGATGCTGGCTATGCTGTTGCTGGTGACAATGGATGACGCAGTGTTGGAGCCATTTGCAGCGGAGAATTGCATGAGTGTTCCCCATGTTCCATGCTTTGTTTGTCCTTACTGACACATTTTTGGCGGTGTTCATTGTGCTGCAAGCACATGGTTTTCAAGGATGGGGCGCTGTGCCATGAGTGCAACATTGCAGAGGTTCCCGACAAGGTGGCTTGTTTGGCATGCAAGGCAGCAAAAAAGCCTTGCAGCACATGCCTAGGTATGCTGTTTTTCCATCCACCTTTATTGTCCTTTATTGACTTCCTTTTCAGCATGTATTGCCAAAGCAATGGCTCCACCTCCAGTGCCAGCAGAGATGAAGCTCTTCTGCTCAGAGACTCCGGAGCTCATCAAGGAGCCCACCAAAAAGCCCGCTGACAAGAAGAAGCAGAAGCCAGTGTGCACCTATCCAGGTGACACCAACTGAACTTGTAGAGGTCAAGCCACTGGTTGCGCCACTCCATATGGCAGAGCACAAGATGCTGCAGCTCCAGAAGAGCTTGCATATGGCTCAGAAAGCAGTGGACACAGCGCAGAAGGCAATGGACATGGTAACAGGCTGGGCGGATCAAGTCCAGGCTCTCCTGGGGAGGGCTCTGACTGAGTAAAGCAGGTCTCTTGCTTTTTGTCTTTTTCTTTTCTTTTCATTGTGTCATATTTTGTCTGGTAGTAATAGTCATTGTTTTTTCTCTTGTCTTGTGTTCTTGTAGATCTGAATTTTGCCTTAAGCAAAATCCATGGTAATACATCTTGTTGGCCCAATATTTGTTGCAGAGTGCCTCAAGTCTGAGTTCAATGTTTTCACATGGGTAATTCGGATCTCATGCAGGTCATAAGAAATTTGCAGGTATTCTGGTAAGGACTGTTTTGTTGCCATACTACTGAGTCTGCTTGTAGACTTAGTAGATATATCTCAGGGAAATGAAGGAAAATGAGGGACAAAGTTGGGAGGGACGTGTGTGCTGTTTGACATGTTTGTGGGTATAAGGCCTACACTATTTATTTGGAGTTGGGCTCTGTGGTGGTTGACAAGACATCTTTTATGGTCTTCAGGATATTGGCAGACATCTGCTGCAAAATGTCAGAGAGGGTGGGTGTGCAGTCAGATTGTTGGTGGTAGGGATACACTTGGAACTGCACAATCTGGGCTTTGAGGATGGCTCCATCCAAGTTGGCAATGACATAACTGCCTCTAGCAGTATGTGTGACCACAACCATGGGGCCAAGAAATTGGGGCTTTGATTTCTGGTCAAGTTCCTTCTCAATCTGAGTATTGCAAATGAGAACCAGGGTGCCAGGTTTGAAGTCATAATCAGCAAGGATGTGCTCATAGTCCACCTTAAATCGGTCTGCAGTTCTGAGGCAGGCTTGGTGAACCTTGTCCTGGAGATCAGATAAATCGGACTCATGGTGCTTGAGCTGTTGAAGTCAATAGGCCAGCTTGTCACTGTCAGACATAGGGAATTCAGGTGGAGGCACGAGGAACATCACTTGCTCAAAGTCCAAGGGGAAGACCAGGTGAACACCATGTGCAATAAAATATGGTGAGAGGCTGGTGCTGTGCTGGACCAAAATTCACTCAGCCCAGAATGCAGTTGGTGCTTTGTCAGGCCATTGCTTAATGTTATCTCCACACACTTTCAAAATTGCTTGGCAGACTGTAAAATGTTTTGATTCTACTGCACCATTTGCACAAGAGTTGTATGGCAAAGTTTGGATGTGCCAGATGCCAAAGTGTCATTCCAGTTCCTTGACTGCAGCTACCCAGGCTGATCCATTGTCAGTGACAATCTCTGCAATATTTCCCCAATGACAGATAACATCATGAAAGAGGAAGGATGCAAGGGCCTTTGTGGTCTCTGACTTTAGAGGACACCATTTGGGGTATGAGGAGAGGGAGCATCGGACTTGCACAATACAGGTGTATCCTTTCACGGGAGGCATCTTCATGGTGTCACAGTAAATCTTTGAGAAAAGCAGAGCTGGGTAATTGACTGTTGGAGGTTTGAGTACCTTCCAAATGCTATGGATCTGACATGCATGGCAGGTATGGAGGTACCACTTGATATTTGCTCAAAGGTCAGGCCACCAAAATTGGAGATGGAGGATACTGGTGACAGTCTTGAAGCCTTTGCGACTGCTGTCATTGTGGGCTTGTTGTAGCAGGGCAAGGCATTCAGTGGGGGGAACATATTTTTGGGGGCAGCCTGTGAGGCTATGCTGAGACAGTTTCCCATTGTGAAGGAAGTATTGGAGGGACTGCTTGATGAGGGCTGCCTGCTGCCGCATATTCCAATCTGGAGGGAGTGACAAATTGGTAAGATATTGGCAGATAAATGCAATGCAGTCATCAAGGTACTGGGTGGACGGGGTCCAGGGGATTTCTATTTCAGGCTCAGAGTCATCAAGAGCAGATTGAAGATATGTGGGATACAAAAGTCCCAGGCATTGTTTGTGGTCAATATCCAGTGGGTTTGGAGCATCTAGTGAATTTGGGGGATGGCAGGAGAGACCATCTGGACTGGTGTGTTTTTCGGGGGGAACATGGACAAGGTCAAAATCAAACTGGTGGATACCACTGACCCATCTGTTGAGGGCTGCAGCAGGTTGCTGGTCCAGATTATTCAACATCCCTTTGATGCAGGATGCATCCACTTTGACAATAAATTGGTGTGCGCCAATCAGGAAGACTTACAGGGCCCAGAGAGTGCAGTATAAACCATATAGTTTGAGCTTTGGTTGGGAATACGGGGATTTGACATTGTTCCATGCCAAAGATCCAAAGCAGGCTGGTTTTCATTTGCCATTCACATCATTTTGGTATAAGACATACCCAACACCGATATTTGAGGAGTCCACCACAAGGATAATCTGGCAGTTGCTTTCATAGTCAATGGGACAGAGGAGACCATCCTGACAGGTGTCTGCTTTTAGCTGGTTGAAGGCTGCTTGGTGTTTGGGGCCCCATGTGAATATCATACCTTTGTGCTTGAGATGTTTCAAAGGGCGGGCTTTCATAGCAAAATCCTTGATGAATATTTGGAGGATTCCAAGAGTACCCAGGAAGGCTTGCACTTCAGTGAGGGATTTGCATGGTTGCCAGTCCTGGATTTTCGCCACCTTAGAAGGCTTGGGCTGTTGGCCCATGTAGGTACAACATTGTCCAAGGATAACAACTTCAGGTGCCACTATTACCATTTTTGGACCACTGAAAGTGCTGCCAGAATGTTCAATGTGGGTCAGGATCTGATTTATGGTTTCCATGTGTTTGTCAGGGCACCAGCTCATTGCTTGGTCAAGAGACATGACTAAGCCTTTATGACATGGAAGTAGCTGGTATACCTTGGCATGTGCTGGAACCTGCTGGAAGGATTGGATGGTCAGGTGACCTGCTGTGCATGGCTGTGCATGACCTCATATGACCTCATCCTTGGTCATATGACCTGATCACCTGACTAGGCTGAGTAAGCAAGATGTTCTAGCAGGTTCCACCACAGAGGTATAAATATAAGGCCTACTCTGCCTGGGACTGTCTCTTCAGACTTGGTCTCTTAGGATCATCCACAGATACCTATACTGTAGATAGGTCTTAGTCATCAGGTCTACTCCACTTCCTTGTTGCCTGC